TATAGAGACCAGGTCTCTCTCTATTGCTAAGGATGTCTGGAACTTTTGGCCTCAAGTGATCCCCCTGCCTTGGCCTCCCAAAATGCTAGGATTACAGGTGTGAGCCACTGCACTTGGCCTGTAGTTTTTTGTATAATAGAAAATTATGGCCAGGCACAGTGGCTCATGCCTGTAATCCAAGCACTTTGGGAGGCCAAGGCTGGAGGATCATTTGAGCTGATGCCAGCCTGGGCAACATGGCCAAACCCCCTGTCTCTACTAAAAATACAAAAAATTAGCTGAGCTTAGTGCTGTACTGTGGTCCCAACTACTCAGGAGGCTGAGGCTGAAGGATCTTTTGAGCCCTGCATGACAGAATGAGATCCTGTCAAAAAGAAAGAGAGAGAGAGAGAGAGAGAGAAGAAAGAAAGAAAGAAAGAGAAAGAAAGAAGGAAAAGAAAGAGAAGAGAAAAATATTTCACTGTTTCAATGTCTCTATCAAAAGCAGAGAATAAAAGGTGGAGTCCAAAGGCCGTGTGTCTCAAGTAAAATGAGAGGGAAAAGAAGACTGCCTCTGGGTTTCACTTGCAAATCGTGGGCCACTTCATTCATTTATTATGTATTACTATACATTTTTTACTATGATGCTGATACACTACCCACCTGGTCCATGAGCATTTTGGGTTTGCAACCTATGATTAATATGTTAACAATATTATCTCTCCCCTGCCACCTTTTTTTTTTTTTTTTTTTTCATAAAAAGCAATTGCAATAACAAAATAAAACTTAAGTCCTTGTACGTATATTTGTAGAAAGAGGGACTATCACTTTTTCTATTATAGACTGCTAAATTATTCTGTATTTCTTGGAACAAGTATGCATATTTTTGTCATTAAAAAGAGATTATAGGCCAGGCCCTGTGGCTTATTCCTGTAATCCCAGCACTTTGGGAGGCAGAGGCGGGCAGATCACCTGAGATCATGAGTTTGAGACCAACCTGGCTGACATGGTGAATCCCCATCTCTACTACAAAATACAAAAAATTAGCCAGGCATGCTGACATACACCTATAATCCCAGCTATTCAGGAGGCTGAGGCAGGAAAATCACTTGAACCCAGGCGGCGGATGTTGCAGTGAGCCGAGATAGTGGCACTGCACGCCATCCTGGGTGGCAGAGCAGGACTTAGTCTCAAAAACCAAAAAGAGTTTATAGTGGCTAGGCACAGTGGCTCACGCCTGTAATCCCAAGACTTTAGGAAGCCAAGGTGGGCCAATCGCTTGAGGCCAGAGTTCGAGACCAGCCTGGTCAACACAGTGAAACCCTGTCTACCAAAAAATACAAAAAAAAAAAAAAAAATTTGCCAGGCATGGTAGCGCATGCCTGTAGTCCCAGCTACTCTGGAGGCTGAGGCAGGAGAATCACTTGAACCCAAGAGGCAGAGGTTGCAGTGAGCTGAGATCGCACCACTGCACTCCAGCCTGGGCCATATAGTAAGTGCGACTCCATGTCAAAAGAAACAAAAGAGAGATTATAAATGTTCAAGTTAAAATTCTTGGCTTGGAGATCACAAGACTCGCCTCTGGTCTTCTTGGCAACCTGGGTGAACAGGTGAATACAGAGGAGCGTGAGCTTCTAGAAGTGCCCATGGGAGTAAGTCACCTTTTCTCTGGTCCAGGCCTAGAAGGAATCTGTGCCAAGGGAGGGAAAAGAACTAATAGCCACTGAGCAGCAACTGGATGCCAGGCCCTGGGCATGCTCTGCAGGCCACTGCACAGGATCCTTGCACCACTTTGTGGGGTCAACATTCCCCCTTTTTTAAAAAAGAAAAAAGAATCTAGCTCTATTGCCCAGGCTGAGTGCAGTGGTGCGATCTCAGCTAACTGCAACCTCCACCTCCCAGGTTCAAGCGATTCTCATGCCTCAGTTTCCCAGGTATGAACCACCACACCCAGCAAATTTTTGTATTTTTAGTAGAGGCAGGGTTTCATCATGTTGCTCAGGCTAGTCTTTAATTCCTGGCCTCAAGTGATCCACCTGCTTCGGCCTCCCAAAGTGCTAGGATTGCAGGCATGAGCCACCATGCCCGGCCCACTCTCTGTTTTTTTAAGTAGCTTTATTGAGCTGTAATTTATATGCCATCAAATTTACCCATTTTAAGTGCACCATTTGATTACCTTTAGCAAATTTACAGAGTTGCAAAACATCTCTAAGGTCCACTGTGGGAACATTTCTGTCACCCCAAAAAGGCCTCTGTGCGTGTTCCACCATCACTCCCCACTCCCACCTTCAGCATGGGACAACCACGAATCTGCTTTCGATTTTTTTCTGCCTTTCCTGGTGGTCTTTTGCACTGCTTCTTTCACTGAACATGTTTTTAAGTTTCATCCATGTTGCAGCCTCTATCTGTACTTTATTCCTTTTTATATATTTTTATTTATTATTTAATTTGATTTAATTTTTTTTTTGAGACAAGTTTTGCTCCATTGCGCAGGCTGGAATGCAGTGGTGCAGTCTCGGCTCCCTGCAACCTTCGCCTCCAGGATTCAAGCAATTCTCCTGTCTCAGCCTCCTGAGTAGCTGGGACTACAGGCATCTGCCTCCACCCCCAGTTAATTTGTTTGTATTTTTAGTCGAGGCGGGGTTTCACCTTGTTGGTCAGGCTGGTCTTGAGCTACTGACCTCAGCTGATCCACCAGCCTCGGCCTCCCAAAGTGCTGGGATTACCGGTGTGAGCCTCTGCACCCAGCCTGATTTAATTATTTTTTATTTTTGAGGCAGGGTCTCTCACTCTGTTGCCCAGTCTGGAGGACAGTGGTACAATCATGGCTCACTGCAACCTTGACCTCCCAGACTCAAATGATCCTCCCACCTCTGCCTCCTGAGTAGCTGGGAATACAGGTACCTACTACCATGCCTGGCTAATTTTTTAATTTTTCGTAGAGATGGGGTTACCCAGGCTGGTCTCGAACTCCTGGACTCAAATGATCCGCCTGCCTCAGCCTCCCAAAGTGCTGTGTTGGCAGGTGTGAGCCACCTCGCCGGGCCACTTTGCTCCTTTCAGAGCAGATAATTCTTTTCTATGACCACATTTTGTTTCAATTTTTTGACTCATAATGCTGCGAAGAACATCTGTGTGTAAGTCTTCATGGGGACACATGTTTTCATTTCTCTTGGGTAGATACCTAAGGGTGGAGTTGCTGGGTCGTACTGTAAATTTATGTTTAACTCTTTCAGAAACTGCTAACCTGTTTTCCAACATGGCGATACCATCTCGTTCCCACCAGCACTGTATGAGGGCTTCCGTGTCCCCATGTCCTCACCAACCCCTCGCATTTGCAGGTGACAAAGATGTAGCTGAGAGAATGGTTTGTCAGTCACACCGCAGGCAGTGGCAGATTTGAGGTTTCCGAACCCATGAGGACCTGACTTTCTGCTCTGGGCATGGACTTTTAGCAAAATGCAGTGATTAAGGCTCTGAAGAGGCAGATCGGCGGGGTCCGCCAGGCTAGCATCCTGGGAGATGGGGCAGGGCTTGCAGAGGTCTGAGGAGTGAGTGGATGGGGCTCAGTGGCCCTTGACTCACACCACTACCCAAGGGCTCAGGCCCCAGCATGGCCAGTAGCAAGGGCGTCCATCCTGGGAGGTCTTGGCCTCTGCTGTGTGCAAGATCTTCTCTCTGGCACCCTCTCCTGCCCCACCTGCATTTCCTGCAGGCTGCCATGTATCCCCACTTCCACCCTCCACAGGAGGAGGAACGGGCTCTCCTGTCCCAGCCCCCAGATCTTTACCTCTTTCTGCCAACCTCAGAGTCTGCATGCAACCTAAGAGTGTCAAAGAGGAGGAACAAGCTCATCTAGTGCATCTGTCTTCCTCAGGGAAGGACCAAGTGACAGGACAATGGGCCAGTGGGTCTGGCCAGCAGGTGGCAGCACAGCCCCACATGTGCTGGACAGCCCTCCTCCCTTCCCACCACCCTCACCCCAAGGAATGGAGGTCCCATGGGACCCAAGGGTCCAGACCACCCATCCAAGCTTCCTTTGCAAACTTGGAAAAGAGGAGAAGGAAAACGTACATTCATGGAGCACCAGCCACAGGCCAAAGCTTCTTCATATACACCCTTTCTCCTAATCCTCATGTCCACCCTGAGAACTGAGTCCTCATCTTTCTCCTGAAACTGACTCAGTGGTTCAGTGGCTTGTCCCAAGTCTTGCATACTAAGTGGTAAACCTCGATCCCCACTCACCACACACAGAGTAAGCCTCTGACTCTTAAAGGCGGGTGGCACCCCGGCCAATGTCCTGAGTGTGAGCTGTGGCACCAGGTACACCTGAGTTCAAATCCTGACCCTGCACTTTGTGCACCCTTTGTGACTTTGGGTAAATGACTGAACCTCTCGAGCTACAGTTGCCCCATCTGAGCAACAGGGGGCTCTCCAAACGCATACTGTGAACACTAAATGAGACACCTCATTTGTGAGGGAGGATGAGCAAGGACTGTTGTGATTTCCTGAGACTGGGAGACTTTTCAGGTTGGAGAGCAGGGCTGGTGGTTTTCAGTCTCCTCCAGACCCTCAGGAGGGTCGTTCTCTTTGGTGCTTTCACCTTCTACCTAGCTGGATCTGTCCCCAACCCATTCACAGTGGGCAGGGAAAGCCAGACACTCTGAAGGCACCTGGAGATCTGACTGAGCTCCACTGCCCAACCTTGGGAGGCAAATTCCAGCTGGGATAAAAGAAGGAATGGAGTTTCTAGGACGCCCACCTGTCCACCAGTTATTTCCTCTCCTCTTGCTTGCTGCAGCCCTAAACTTTGCTCATCCTTCAAGGCTGAGTCAGACCTCCTCGTCCAGGCAGTCTCCCAGCCTGCCCCAGTCTACCCTTGCCTGCCAGCCTCAAAGCCCAGTACCCAAGGCATTGTCAGCACCAGAAGGGCTTCGAGTTCTGCCCAGGGAAGGACCAGGGTACCCTGGGGACAACCCCAGGTGGGCATGATCCAAGCTGTGGTGTCCCCCACCCCACAGAGGAGGCGCTGTGGACGACTCGGGCTGATGGGCACGTGCGCCTGCGCGTAGACCCCAGCTGCCCACAGTTTCCCTACACCGTGCATCGGATGTTCTACGAAGCCTTGGACAAGTACGGGGACCTCAATGCTCTAGGCTTCAAGCACCAGGACAAGTGGGAGCACATCTCCTACTCCCAGTACTACCTGCTCGCCCGCAGAGCCGCCAAGGGCTTCCTGAAGGTAAGGGAGCCCCTGTGACAAGGCCTTTCCCCTGCCCAGATGTACCTGCCAGCTCTGGGCCTCACAGGTCTCCTCCCCAACTGCCCACTGGGCAAGGCCCTTAGGAACAATAACTGTAAAAGCCACCCTCACCCCTGTAATTCCAGCACTTTGGGAGGCCGAGGCGGGTGGATGATGTAAGGTCAAGAGTTCAAGACCAGCCTCGGCAGCATGGTGAAATCCTGTCTCTGCTTAAAATAGAAAAATTGGGCCAGGCACGGTGGCTTATGCCTGTAATCCCAGCACTTTGGGAGGCTGAGGCGGATGGATCACGAGGTCAGGAGTTTGAGACCAGCCTGGCCAACATGGAGAAATCCCATCTCTACTAAAAATACAAAAATTAGCCAGGTGTGGTAGCAAGTGCCTGTAATCCCAGCTACTCAGGAGGCTGACGCAGGAGAATCCCTTGAACCCAGGAAGTGAAGGTTGCAGTGAGCGGAGATCACGCCACTGCACTTCAGCCTGGGCAACAGAGCGAGACTCCGTCTCAAAAAAAAAAAAAAAGCCACCACTGAGCACAGAGCTGATACCACACGCTGGGCCCCGTACTGAGCTTATATTTCCCGAGTCCCTACCATGCGCCAAGCACTCGATTCTTGCTTTTCATTTGTGATCACATTCAGGCCAGGCTGGAAGCCCAGTGTGCTGGGCTGAAGAGGGGGGGCGGACTCCCCGGGAAGGCCCTGGGAGGGGCAGCGAGGGCTGTTGAGTGACTGACCCCTCCTGCTCCAAGGGGATTCTCTGACTGAGTGGACCCAGGGAGGGTGGGACCTGCAGGGTCTCCTGCAGTCTGGGTGAGGGTCCTAAGAGGGGCGTGAGGGTCCTGGTACCTGCCCGGCTGACCTGGCCTGTCTGCCTTTGGCCTGGAGCTCGGCCTGGAGCGGGCCCACAGTGTGGCCATCCTCGGCTTCAACTCCCCGGAGTGGTTCTTCTCAGCAGTGGGCACAGTATTCGCTGGGTGAGTGGTGGGGCAGGGGAGGGTCTCCAGTGGGTTGGCAGTGGGCAGAGGGTAGGAGAGGGTCCTTATGTCTTTTCAGTAGCCCCCACCCACTCCCCACCATGCTGCCTCCTCCCTGGGGCTTCGGGTGAACCTGCATCTGGCACCCTCTCTGCAGGGGCAGTGGTGCTGAGGTGCCTTGGGAGCCCCTCCTACCACGCTGGGGCAGCTCTATGGGTCTGGGGGCTACAGACGTGGGGGTGGGGGAAGGAGGTGGCCCCTATGCACCTGCCCCAAGGCGAATCCTCCTGCATCTCCTACAGCGGCATCATCACTGGCATCTACACCACCAGCTCCCCCGAGGCGTGCCAGTACATCGCCCATGACTGCCGCGCCAACGTCATTGTGGTGGACACGCAGAAGCAGCTGGAAAAGATCCTGAAGGTTTGGGGAAGGAGCAGCGGGCATAGGGTCAGAGGCTGGGCGTCCCCATGCACCTCCACTCCAACTCATACCAGACCTTCCCACCCTCCACCCAGAGTCTCCCCTCATCCTCAGCAGGAACCCTCCAATGCACACACAGCAAGCAAGGCAGGGCAGCGGCTACCCACCTATTTGACAGGCAAGGAAATGGAGCCTGGGGGATGTTCCCCAGAAGTGGTGACAGGGCCTTGGGTAGGGCTCCTGTCCAGCCCACTGCCTCCCATGGCTTTCTCTTGGGGCTGGGTCTCCCCCTACGGGGGAACAGGAGCTGTGGGGCCAGGGTCCTCCGCCGGTGGAAGGGTTAAGTGCAGGTCAGTGGCTTAGGGCTCTGACACCTTGAGCACTCGAGTCTAGGTGAGGAACAGGTGGTGGAGGGCAGTGAGGGCTGTCACAGGGTGAGGGGTGAGACAAGTCAGACATGGGGGGGCAGAGCAGGAGCTCGGAGCGCCTCTAGAGCCAGCAGGGTCTTTACTGGCGCATTGATGATGCCTCCTGATCTGAGGCCCACACCTACCTGGCTCTGTCCCCGCATTCACCATACTGGGGTGTGGTGGCCTGGGGACGCCTCTGTATCCCAACTGAACCCAACAGACTTCAAGGCACTCACTCAGGGGCTCCCTGCACCCCAAAGGAGGCCTCAGAGATTGACTTGGTCTGCCTCTGATGGTGGAGATGTCACCTGGACCATAGCCTCCCCATCTGTACCCGAGGGTGGGACAAATGACTGCACCCTTCTATGACTGTGGGATCTGGATCCCCAGAGGAGCCAGCAGGCGCTCCCCTCATTTCTAGTGGAGTCTCCTAATCCTGAAAGAGAAAAGCAGGAGGGGCAGGGGTTCCCAGCAGGGCAGCTCCTCCTTGGTGGAGGCTCAGACTGAAGACCAGACCCTTGAGGCAGAGCCTCTTGGAGGGGAGCCCTAGATCAGAGAGCGTTTTAACAGAGCCTCAGGTGAGGCTGTCGGCAGCCAGGCCAAGACCTTCTGGCTCACAGCAAAATAAAACGTAGCCCTGGGAAGATGGCAGAGCTGCCCTGCCAGATGCACCAAGGCCTCTGAGCAGGGTTTAAACCCAGAGGAAGTATAGAGAAGTGGGTGAGCACACACCCCTGGGCTGGACCTGCCAGAGCTCAAATGCAGTGTGGTTTTGGGGAGGATGGTGACAGCCGCAGAGGTCACCTCAAAGGGCTGGTGTGAGCGTAACTCTTAGACCAGCGTCTGGCTCTTGGCGAGCACCTGTGTTCATGGGCCACGGCTGCTGTGACTGGGTGGCTTCCGGGGTTTGCTGGCCATCTTTGTGTTTCTTGGCTTGTAGACGCATGGCCCAGACCTCTGCCTTCATCTTCACCTGGTGTTCTCCCGGTATCTTCATGTCGTCATCCTGTCTGTCTCTGTGTCCAAATTTCCCATTTCTATAAGGACAGCAGGACTATTGGATTTAGCCCACCCTAATGTCTTTGTTTTAACTTCATTACCTCTATAAAGACCGTGTCTCCAAATAAGGTCACATTCCGAGGTACTGGGGGTTACGACTTTGGCATATCTCTTTGTGGGTGACAGAATTTAACCCACGGCAGCACATGTAAGTGCTTCTAGATCATTACATTGTTACAGTCTTCACTTATAAGACAAGAGAGAAAGGGGTTCTAAGAGGTAGGAAACTTTCGGAACCTGGAGGGACTGGAAAAGCCATCCCCACCAATCTCCCCTCTGTCCATTTCACACATGAAGAAACAGATCAGCGTGGGAAAGGACAGTGCCAGTAGCAACAGCAGCGGCTAGATGCGGTTCATGGCATCCTCCCTCCCTTCCTCCTTCCCTCCCTCCCTCCTCCCTCCCTCCCTCCCTCCTCCCTCTCTCCCTCTCTCCCTCCCTCCCTCCTTTCCTTCCCTCCCTCCCTCTTTCTCTTTCTCTCTTTTTTGACTGAGTCTCGCACTGTCACCCAGGCTGGAGTGCAGTGGTGCAATCTCAGCTCACTGCAATCTCCCCCTCCCAGGTTCAAGCAATTCTCCTGCTTCAGCCTTCCAAGTAGCTGAGATTACGGGTGCCTGCCACTAGGCCTGGCTAATTTTTTGTATTTTTAGTAGAGATGGAGTTTCACTATGTTGGCCAGACTGGTCTCGAACTCCTGACCTGGTGATCCTCCCACCTTAGCCTTGCAGGTACTGGGATTACAGGTGTGAGCTGCCCCCCCCGACCTACCTTCCTTCCTTCCATCCTTCCTTCCCTCCTTCCCTTCCTTCCTTCCTTCCTTCTTTCCTTCTTTTCCTTCCTTCCTTCCTTCCTTCCTACCTTCCTTCCTTCCTTCCTTCCTTCTTTCCTTCTTTTCCTTCCTTCCTTCCTTCCTTCCTACCTTCCTTCCTTCCTTCCTACCTTCCTTCCTTCCTTCCTTCCTTCTTTTCCTTCCTTCCTTCCTTCCTACCTTCCTTCCTTCCTTCTCTCCTTCCCTTCCTTCCTTCCTTCTTTCCTTCCTTTTTCTTTTTCTTTCTCTTTCTTCTTTTCCTTTTCTCTCCTCTCCTCTCTTCTCTTCTCTGCCTCTCTTTTCTTTTTTTTTCTTTCTCTTCTTTTCTTTCTTCCTGTCTCACTCTGTCACTCAGGCTGGAGTGAAGTAGCTCAATCATAACTCACTACAGCCTCGACATCCCTGACTCAAGTGATCCTCCCACCTCAGCTTCCCAAGTAGCTGGAACTACAGGCATGGGACTCTACACCTGGCTAATTTTTTGTAGAGATGGAGTCTTGCTCTTTTGCCCAGGCTGGTCTCAAACACCTGGCCTTAAGCAATCATCTGTCTTGGCCTCCCAAAGTGCTGGGCTTATAGGCATGAACCACCTTGCCTAGCCTTGAAACTCTTACTAAGATTTGAAGAAGGGGTCCCACATTTACATTTTGCACCTGGCCAGTTCTGCCTTCAGGTTCCAGACCCCTCCAAAGATTTGTTCTAATCCACGTGAGTGCACCCAGTTTTATGCCATTTTAGGATTATTTTGAAACTCCTCTTTTAAATGGGCACTTTGGGTGTACTTGTGTTTTACTCTGAAGGACGTATCAAATGGGCCCACTTCATGAATGAGAGACTGGTCTTGCCTCCATTGGGGTCCTTTTCTGTCTCAGTTCCTTTTGACCCCTTGTTTTTGGGATCTCTCATTCTGAGCATCGGCATCCTGTCTGACCTGGATAAATACTAGAGATCCGGTATGGATTATGCCACTTAAGAGGAATTGCTCAGAGACTGAGGAGCGCCTTCTCCTTTGGGTCCCACTAGGGATACCCTGTCGCTGGCCCGCCCAGGCACCCTAGGCCTTGCTGTGGCCCCAACTTCGTCAGGTTTAGTCGCTTCATAGATCCCCGTGGCTTGGAGGCAAAGAGATGATTGGGCTAGTTCCTGAGTTCCACTCCTCACAGCCCCGGCCAAGTGCAGATCCAGCCTCTCCCAGGACAGGCTGAAGATGTGCTTCAGGGCCAGACTGGCAGCACCTCAGCCGCCTGTATCACCTGTACCCATTGATCATCCCTCCTCGGCCTCACCGAGGGAGTCACACCGGCCCCACCATTCCCTCTCATGTCAGAATCCGAGTGGGGAGGGTGGAAGGCATTAAAAAGCACCCCCATTGGGCTTTGCCAGGCCCCTCAGGGAGGCTAACCCCCTTGTACAGGGTGTTGGTCTAATCCGAATACCACCCCATCCCCATTTTGCAGTTGAAGAAACTGAGGCCCAGAGTTAGGAAATGACCACCCCAGGTCAGTATTTAAAAGGAAGCTTGGTTTTTTAAATTTTGTTTTAAGACCAAATTTGAACTCTTTACACTTACTCATTTTCATCTTCGTTGTCAAAAGAAAGGAGCCTACTGTTTTTTATTTGTTTTTGTGAGTTCTTTTGCACTGAGTCCTGATTTATTTCATCTTCATTTGGCCTCTTCTTTCTTGAGCTTCCTGTTAAACCTGAATATTTTTCATCTGAGGGACGCTTGACTGGTTTTCAGTACAGGATTCTTCCAGCAGCTGAAGGTGGTTCTTCATCTGCCCTGGCAGCCTTTATTTCTGCTTTAATTTTCATGACTTTTTTTTTTTTTTTTTTTTTTTTTGTTGGAGGCAGAGTCTTGCTCTGTCACCAGGCACCAGGCTGGAGTGTAGAGGCGCAATCCCGGCTCACTGCAACCTCCACCTCCCAGGTTCAAGCAATTCTCCTGCCTCAGCCTCCCGAGAAGCTGGGACTACAGGCACGTGCCACCATGCCCAGCTAATTTTTGTATTTTTAGTAGAGACGGGGTTTTGCCATGTTGGCCAGGTTGGTCTCGATCTCTTGACCTTGTGATCTACCCACCTCGGTCTCCCAAAGTGCTGGGATTACAGGCATGAGCCACCGCGCCCAGCAGGTCTTCCTTTTTCAAAACCGCCACTTGAGGCTGTTCATCTTCTTTGTCACTGTGATCCCCATCTTCATCTGGGAGCTGAGGCTGGATTCTCCTGGTCTCCACGGTGGGCCCCTCCCTATAGCCCACCCATTCCTTGAAGCGAGCCAGGAACACTGGCTCTGTTGGCCTCACATAATATACCTGGTTCTACTTGCTCATGGTAGCTCTGGGTCAGTTTTTAATTTTTTGAGACAAGGTCTCACTTTGGCACCAAGGCTGGAATATTGTAGTGTAATCGTGGCTCACTGCAGCCTCAACCTCCTGGGCTCAAGCAGTCCTCCCACTTCAGCCTCCTGAGTAGCTGGGACTTTAGGTGCCTGCAGCACCATGCCTAGCTAACTTTTGTATTTTTTTCTTTAGAGACACAAGGTCTCACTATGTTGCCCAGGCTGGTCTCAAATTCCTGGTTTAAGCAATCCAACATGCTTGAATTACAGGCATGTGACACCATGCCTGGTAATGTTTAGGCTTTGTGTCCACATAAAAATCTCATCTTGAATTGTGATCCCCAGGTGTTCAGGGAGAGACCAGGTGGGAGTGATTGGGTTAT